CCAAATTTGGTCTTCCTTTCTTTGTTTTATTCTTCTGTGGTAATACTATCTTACTTAATATGTTTGTGTGAGTCCTTCATTTTTCTTTCCTAGGGTCTAATTATGCACTAATTTTTTAGAGCTTTTCTTTACATTCCTTTTCTTTTTCACCTGTAGCATCTTATTCATCACTGTACGTAGGAACCCAGGCACTAACTGACCTCCAGGGGACCTGTGATTTTTATACTCTTTTTCCCATGTGGTCTGTATTACACACAAACATAATGAGGTTTGTTTCTGAAATACAAATCTGATCTTGTTATTTAACACCTTAGTTTTCACAGAAACAGTCCCTAACACAAAGAACTAAGTATAGCTATTTTACTTGGGGAAAAAAAGAAGGGACATAATAAGGAATATAAAACATTAGAAAGTATTAGAAGACAATCAAAAGAGAGTACATTTTTTACTTGAAAGCAGAAACTGCTAGCCTTCAGTTTTCCTGGAGAAACTAGGAAGCAGTCTGGAACATATACTACAAAATTACTTCGTTTGAAGGACTTAAGGGGCCGAGGTATTCAAATATCCACTACTATGAATCATTGGTAAGGGCCACTGGCTGTGATTGAGGGACAGCACTATAAATATTCCAGAACTTTTGGTCTGCTCCAAGGACAAGTATATAGTAGCTTAAGTGGCCAGAGGAAACTTAGGGAAGAAAACTATTTGGAAACAATTGGAAGTCAGATTAGCTTGTGCTGAAGTGCTGTGAATGAGTATTTAAGAATAGATACCAGCAGTGTCTACACTTTCAGGGGCATCTCAGATGTCTCTAGAGAAACAGAAAAAATCTATTATTTTATGTTACACAAAAAGCATTTTATAGTCTGAGTCAAACGTGTCCCTGTACGTTACCCTTCATTCCACCCATGTTAATTGTCTGTAGACACACTGTCATACCTCCAATCTATATAGATTGGTGGTTTTTCCTGAAGGTCTTTTCATCCTTTTCCTCTAACCAAATCCTATTCATCCTTCAAGAACCAGTTCAGACATTGCTTCCTTTCTGAAACTCCCTTTTCTTTTTGTAAGAAGGGTTAGTATTTAACATATCATTGAAATTCAGTAAATGTATTTTGAATGGTTAATAAATACATGTGTCAGTTTCTGCTATTGAACATTTGATTTTATACTTACCTGTGGATCTATACCACCATCTTATCCTCTTGTAAAACCCAATGAGCATCCAATAAATATTGGTTGCAATGTTGAAATATTTACCTTAGAAAAATATTGAATATTGCTATATTGAGTGTTTTGAATATTTTAATATGGAAAACATGGAAGAATACCCCTTTAAAATAGAAAAAAATTAAAAATTAGTACTTTAAGTTCCTGTCATGTTTCTGTCCATACAGTTTATTAGTTATTATTGCCTCTTTTCAAAAAACAAAGTTTGGGAAGCATGAAATGAATCCAGTGTCTTCAAACTTTGAAATGCTCCATAACCTCACCTATGTGTCTCTAATAGCATAGGAAGTAGCATACCCAGTGTCCATTGTATTTCATTGTTTGGTAGTAAAGTAGAAATATAATATGATGACATTATCTTGACTTCTAGCCTCTAGTTCCATTCCCCCTTCAGAATTTATGAGGGGCATATATACATGTTTTACCTGTGTCTGTATACTTTGTTAAATTGGGAAAATTTTAAAGCAAGTTTGCATTTTTTAGTTTTTCTATTACAGGCATTTTTCAATTACATGTATTTTTCATTTCAGAAAGTAAAAAAATTCAGAGGCATAAAGCATTTTAGAATAATTTTTGTCTGGCTCAAATACAATAAAGATGTGAGAAAGCTCTTCAGGAGAATATGCCACTGGACCCTGGCAGAGTTGTTTTTCCACTTTCAGGAAATTATGTCATTAAGTTATACCTGGGAAGCCAAATATTTGCTAAAGAAAACACATCAAAATGAATAGTAAAAGTAACCCAGATAAATACCTTACTCCAGGACCTGGCCAGTTCACAAAAGAAGCAATGCAATACTTTTAGAATGTAACTTAGACTGGCTATTTCTTTGCTCAAAATCCTCAAGTAACTTCTTATAGCACTTAGAATAAAATCAAGAGCCCTAATTATGGTTCCCAAAGCTATCCATGAGCAGTCACTACTGCCCCTTCCAAGGCTTTACTTTCCCTCTCCAGTCTTTATACTGCAACCACAACTTCTTTCTTGCTCTCCAGTGTACCCAGTACCATCTGGATCAGGAAGTGGGTACTACCTGTGACCTCTAGCCTGAGTGCTCACTCCATACTATAATAACCTACACCTGCATTTCATTCTGGATTTAGTTCTGTGCTTAAATATCTTTTCTCTAGAGGGGCCTTTTCCCATCCTTGATCTAAAAGAGCAGCCCTCATCACTTTGGGCTTGCTTTCTTAGATTTTCATGTCTCTTAACAGTACCTACCATTGTATTCAGCATGTGTTCCTAATGGACTGCCTCTCTATAATTTTGTTCCTTTTGTTATCAAAGATACCTTAGATTGTATCATTTTAGAAACACTGAAATATTCATTTAAACACTGGGTTTATAAGATGAATGAGTAAGTGAATTACTATAACTAACTCACATTCCTTCTTCAATCATATCCTGAAAGGATCATCCATATTTTAGCCACCAGAATATAGAAATCCAAGGAGAAATAATGTTTTGTTTTATTTTTTAAATATGCTTAGAAACTTTGGAGTTTTTTGTAGGTCATGGTTATCTCTCGATGGCTAAAAACAGAAATATGGGTTTTATCATACCTACTCAGTTGAGTCCTAACAGTGACCTCAAACTTGTTCTAAGACTTCTAAGCTAGAAGTTGCGTGATTTCTATTTTGGATGTCATGAGATTTTCTTTTTCTGTGAACCTATTTATCCATCTACTGTCAGAAGTCATATGGGAGTATGGTAGGCAGATGCAGGCCCAGGAAAATACAGAGTATATGGAAAAGATATTTGGAGAACTTTTATTTAGTTTCAGAAAAATCCTTTTTTGTGTACTCAGATTATTACAAAAAGTAACAATTATGAGGAATCATGCCCTCATGAATTTGCTTTTGCTCATAAGTTTTATGCCAGGGATATATGATAGTTGTTAGACTGTTACATATGTTAATCATATTGAAAATATGATCCTTTATAGGTACAAAGAATCAATGAGAGTAGATCTTAATTAAAACATATTGTTCCGGTTACTGTCCATTCTATTGTTCCTTTTAAAAAGTTTAATAAATTATATCACAGCTGCAGTGTTTACATTTTAACTATGTCAGTTTTTTTTTTCTATTTCTTTATTCACATTTTTGTTCTTGAACTTCAGGAATTTGCAGTTTTTTTAAGATGAATTAATTATTTTAAAGAAACACCAGGCATTGGCTTTTTACTTTTTTATAAGGCTCCAAAAAGCAAAAATAATTTTTGCTTCATGTTGCCACTGCTTAGCTCTGACTTTGTAATGTGGACAAGACAAAAATGAATAAGCATTTCTGTTCAGTAAAACATTTTGATTTAAAAACAAGCAGCATACAAGATTTAGCAGTTCGCCAGCAAGTTTGCCTATTTTTTGAGGATTGAAGAATCAGGCAGATTCAGTCCATAAGTTCCAACTGATTTAAATAAAATGCAAATTATGTAATAACAGATCCAATAAGAATTTATGGATTTAAAAAGTTACATCATTTCTTATGTAATCTAGTGTCTCCCATATGAAAATATCCACAGCATGTATACCATTCTAATTTTAGATGGTTAAAAAAAAGCTTCTTTCCCTTCCTTTCCTGATTAATTAGTTTGTTTTATTAAACATGACTCATTGCTTTTGTCATTTAGTCCTGACTAGAAATCAAGATCTACCTGAAAAATATTAACTAAATTCCGTAGTAGCCTAGGTTTTTCAGTGCCATTATTTCGTATGTCTTCATTAAGTTCATTATTTTTTGAAAGTAGGCAGGAAACAGATACGTAAATATATTCTCTTGCATGTAACAGAAAGAGCATAATTAGTTGTGTCAAGTAACTTTTTCGTCCTTTTTACTCGCCGAGTAGTTCTCCATTGTGCATAAATACATTTTGTTTATCCATTTATTATTGGACATACTGGCTACTTCCAATATTTAGTTATTATGAATAGTGCTGCTACAAATATAGGTATGTATGGATTACTGTTATATGATATCTTTAACTCTTTTGTATAGATACTTAGAAGGAAAAATAGCTACGTGAGATGGAAATTTTGATTTCAATTCTTTAGGAAATCTCTACACTGATTTACAGAGCCTCTATTTCAGGATGAAAGGCATGGACTGGATGAGAGGAAAAAAAATAAAGTAGTTTTGAGATAGAGTAATAGAACTAGAAATATCACAATATAACTTTATGTGGTTTGGGATGCAGTTCAGTGGTAGAGTCTTTGCCTAGCACTCACAAGGGTCAAACTTTGATTGTACTCAGGTCAGAAACAACTGGTTACAAGGTTGAGTTAGATGTTTGAGAAACAATAATAACCACAAAAGCATCTTGAATCACTGATTACCCAGTTTAATCAGTAGAAGTGAATATGAATTCCCCAGTTCTTCAGGCACATGAACAGGAATTTAATTTGAATTTACATTACTATTCAGGGTTCTATTTACAGGTTTTGCATAATAGAACAATGTAGCTTAATTAATACTACTTGTCATTGTACTGATAATTGTATATGTGTTTATAAGTTGAGGATTATTTGTATCTTTCATAAAGTATACTAATTGTTTCATCAACTACTGATTCAGTAATTATTAATAGGATAATTATTACCATATTATAAAGTGATTAAATAGAAAATTGGTAACATTTTAAAGTATACCATCTAAAATAAACAGTATTTAATATTTTTGGCTTTTGATTAAAAAGTAGCCATCATACATATGTATATGTTTACATTGTTCTACTTCCTGTACACATTTTCTAATTTTGATTTTGTCTTTTAGTTGTTTTACAGGTTTGCAGCCTTGTCCTTTACCCAATCAAGTTCATTGAAACTGTGAGCTTGAAAATTTATCATGAGTTCAACTGGGGTTATGGCCTGGCCTGGGGTGCAACTATATTTTCATTTGGGGGTGCCATCCTTTATTGCCTGAACCCTAAGAACTATGAAGACTACTACTAATACCGAGTCTCAAATTTGGAAAAAAAAAAAGAAAAAAAAAAAACATCCAACAAAAGAATTACATCTGCATCTTTTCTAACTATTTTCTAAAACACTTGTGGAGCATCAAGCAGTTTGCTCATTTGATTTAATATTCTTTGCCTCTTGGCTGTCAGTGTCATAACCAGCTTTTACATCCATTTTAGGGACCTGCACAAATTAAGAGAGCTGATTAGACATAGGCAAATGCAGCAAACTTCCAATATGTTCATGTCATTTTTCTTGACAAGTGAAGGGTCTGTATGACAGCAACTATTGTGAGAAACTAGTTGGAATGAAAATTGCCTGAATCTCTTATTGCCTGCAGGGAAGCAGCTGGCATAAGCAATATTTAGAAGTTCTTTGCTCTGATAAGGATTCCACTGTTAAATCCTGTATCACCTGCTTATCCCACCCAATGACTATATTGGTTGTTGGTAACTGAGTGAGCTATTGAAAAGTGAACTGCCCTTGGGCATCATTTGGGTATTGTGAATATAACTAGTTAATGGTACACATTCCACTTTGAAGAATATTTTCTTAATGGGAGGCTAGGATTTAGCAATCAGCATATCCTTTTTAAAGGAAGTCAAGATTTAAAGACATGTGCTTTTCATTATCTGGTTAGAAATTGTTCTTCAGACTTTTAAAGAAGAGGGGAAAATTGAGGGTCTCTGCTTTCCCTGGGGCAATTAGAAACAAATATGCATGAGTCGCATTTGTACCCTTTAAATCATTTATCAGACATTGCAGCAAACAACTGTGCATATGTAACAAACAAATATTTTTATAGAAGGTGAACCGTTAGTATGAATGATAATAAGTTGTTCCCTCACCCTACACATGCATTTACCAATTATACATAAAATTAATATTTGCTCTAGTGAAGTGGTTTGAACACTAACCTTGTATGTATTAAGAGACTTAGATTGGTTTTCACACTATTTTACCATATAGAAGTGCATATACCTTAATGCTTTTGCTCTATGTTCTCTACTATTTAATTGGAAAGTATAAATAGAATTGCCTAAGAAGAAAAATTGAAATGGTGTTAATATGAAAAGGAACAATTCTTCCCTAAGCACTGTAGTTGAAAAGAAAGTAGCAGTAAGGATGATCACTTTGTGTAAAATTCATTAAAATAGATGGCTGCTATTTTTGGCAAGTATTTTAAATGTCTTCATTTAAACAGATAGTGATAGATTTATATAAATGTCTAAAATGTCTTGGTAGAAGAATAGAATTCATTTGATTATTACCTGGCCCACTGGAATTAACTGATGGGCTAATTTGTACACACAATTATGATGGATTTGTGTTAGGGAAATAATTTACTCACTGTTTAATGGAAGGAAATACCAATAATATGGAAGAAGTTTGCAGCTAATCTCACACTGCAAACTTGAATTAATCCTGTTTAATATGAAAATTTCAATAGTTTAATTGTAAACCTATTTTTATAGAAATATATGATTCTAATATAAAAGTTATGAATAATTATTTTTGTTAACAAAGTCACTAAAGCAGTATGCTATGGTTTAACCCTCTTGCAGAAAGAAGCATTGGAAAAATAACTTGAAACATATCCATTTACTATTATATTGCAAAAACCATTGCAAGCAGGACCACATCAAGAGTATTTGATAATGAGCTTTACCTCCCAGAGCAGAGTTCTGCTTTTCACTTATCTTAAATAAATGGTTGCCAGACAGCGGTTCCCACCCAGTGAAATTATTTTATTATTCCATTGCCAAAAATGCCACTTACATAGTGAATTTTCTACAGAATCAAAAAAGTAAATGAAGTACCAGGCTTATTCTTATTTTAGTAATGATAAACAAATGTGTATGCTAGAGAGAAATCTTTATAAAAGTATATGATTCTGTAAAGAATCAAAAGAAACTATGAGTGGAAGTTTTCCAGAAAGATAGTATTGTAGAATATTTAGAAGCAATCTTCTTGAGAAATAGTAAAATCTAGTGCAGACTCACATGAAGTTAATTGCATATTTTCAGAACAGCATGAGAAATAAAAATAGTTCGATGTTGGTTACTAAACACACCAATGAGAATAGTGTAAGAACAGTACTTTGGTGCTGACATCAGTGAGGCACTTTTCTTGGGCAGAGTAGTAGAAGATGCAATGTTCTGTTAGAACCAATATCATCATATCAAGTTTTCATTCTCTGTCAATATGACATGCTTGGCAATGACAGAATATGCTATACATTGAGGCATACATATTTGCAGTTTACTGAGAGCATTTCTTCGGTAGTTTTTCCATTCCCAATGGAAATCCAGCCAGTGTTACATTTCTACCATCACTAATATTTGGAAGTGTTTCATTACTAACAAAGCTCAGTACAATAGGAGACTTGTTGCTTATACAAAATATTATTGTCTATCAGAATAAACACAAGTGGAGTTTTACCTACATTAATGTTTTTGTAGCTTTAGATTTGTTTCATTTTTTCTTAAGCAAAACTTAACCACAACTCATTGTTTGTGTTAGAATATATATATATATATATATATATATATATATATATATATGTATGTATGTATATGTATATATATATAATTACTCAGCAGGGCTAGTTATTTGGATTTCTTGTACAAGTATTCAGCTTTTTGTAAGTTCAACATGTAAATTTTAAAGACATAAATATAGAAAGACTTATGTGTTTGAAATATAAATGATATATATGGATTAGCATGTACCTGTATATTATTAAAATGCAATGAACTGATTGGTAAGTGATGTTTAATTGTACGGCTAGCAATGTAATTTATTCAGACTGTATTTTTGTACAGAGCAGCGCACACTAACCTATGCCTCTGTGTCCTCTTTAATGCCTAAAACTGTGCCTAGAAATTTCATCTCTCTTAAAAATAAAATATACTTCATGCTGTTTATGCTATTAATTTCTCTATTGCTATTCTTTATTTATTATTTTTGGCTGTATAACATGTTTGTTACTTAAATATGAATTTATAGTATCCTGGTTACTTTTTATAACAATCATCTGGGGGAAACCTGTTTATTGCTCCAGTGACTTTCAGTTTGCAGTTTCATGATCAGTTACTCATTTTATGATTTTTGTAGTTGACATGAAGTTATCTATGTGGAAAAAATAAAAATAAAGTGGTTTCACTGATATGGTTTGACTTTGTGCCTTCTCTACTATGTATATCCTTTGTCAAGACTTCTGTATTACATGTCTTCAATTGACTTTCTCCTTTAAAATATGTATGATTCAGAAAACAAAGGTTAATAGTACATGTTTTTCATAAATATTTTTTTGTGGTGCTTGTGATTGAACCCAAGGCCCTGTACATGCTAGACGAACATTCTACCACTGTGCTATCTTCCAGACTCCCCAAAATTTAGTTGTTCTTTCAAATTCATCCAGACCCTTCTGTTCAGTTATATGCAGTATCCATGATAAAAGGAATATCATTAAATGTTTTTCAACTTTATGTTTTAAGTGCACATAAAGGAAATATAGTGTAGGCTAACACGATTAGAAGTAGCAAAAGAGTGATACAAGTACTAAGCTTTGTGTAGTTTTAAGTTTTTATTGAGTATAAAGCATGCTTACCTCCATCTTAAAGAGGCATTCTAAATATTTAGTACATCTTCTTGTGCATGTGCCTATGTGTGTATTCATGTGTGAAAATTTATTAAATCAAAGTTTGTTCTTACCCTTGCAAGTGTATAAATGCACAGGATACAAATTAGATATGTCATAGAATTCAATTGTGCATATACCAAAATCTTCCTGAAAATACTAATAGAGCCGTACACAATTGTGCAGACTTTCTTGCCTTGAAAAAATCAGTTGGGATATAAAATATAAAAACATGTCCCATGAGCCATTAAATTTTGAGGACTATACAGTTTTTATGCTAAAAAGAAAATATTGTAAGTCACCTGTAAGCTTTTGGTTCATTTCATATCAGACTTTAAAAGGTAAGCATATTATGGATTCTAACGTTCTCAATATTTCTGTTTTTTTCCTGTTTTCAATGGCCTTATATTGTAATTTGATAGAGTAGCCTTATTAATTTGATGAGTGATGTTTTTAATATAAGTGCATTTGTTTTCATAGAGAATTCTCATGTGATTTGCTCATGAGAACATACGTTGCCTGGTAATTATCTATGACAGTTTTTCTGATTTTAGAAAACACACATAATTTCTCTAGGATTTGACAAGGGAAAACGATATTGAAAAATTTCACTGTGAACCTACAGGAAAGCAATTCCCAGTTACTTTTTCACAATGACCATACAGCCTGTGAGCCACCTATTTTATTAAGTCAACTTTGTATTATATTATTTCAAGAATATTCCATTTCAATTATTTAAAAATCATTCTGATTAGAAAATAGAGGTAATATTGTGTATTCAATATTCAAATATTAACATCACATTTTCATTTTAGGACTTTTCTGCCAATAACTTTAGAAGTGCAAGATTAAATGAAAAATTAAAAGGACAAATAATTAGAAAAAGTGCTTAGAATGTTTTCACAAGAAGCACTAATTTATTTGAATAATTTAAATTCTATGTCAATTATTTTGTTTTATTATAGCAAATTTAAAAAACTCCATCTAATAAAATGTTAACAGTTTTCTTTATAAAACTTTGGACGTCCTTAGATTTCTAACTGCTAAATGTTCTGGACAGAGGTTTTACATATCTATAGTTGGAAAATCTGTTTTCAAAGAATCACCAACGGGGTGACTCATGCATTTATATTCCAGAAGTGCATCGGATGGTTCCAAAGTATAACTAGGAGAACAGGAGCTGAACTGTTCAAGAGGAAAGGATAATTTGTGGTGTTTCTAAGCCAAGATTAACAGCACACAAAGAATGGTGTGCTTTGTAAAACTAAAGCTATGTTGAGTGGTTCACCAGAGAAACTCCGTTTTGGCAAGTAATTATTTCCAAGTTGAATGACTTCATAGAAATAATGATTATAAATGAAGCTTGGAAGCATTGATGGAAAATGTCAAACTACTGGAGTATTGGAATACTTCAAACTTTGTATATGAGAAAGATTAATCAACAAAATCCTATCAAAAATATTCACGCATTTATATACACACATACTAATTTTTGAATGGATGAGCATGTACCTGTTGGTGACCTGAAGACATTTCTTACACTACAGATGAGATGCGGGCAAGTATGGAGTTCAACATAAAATGTGTCATCTCAACACAAGATGAGATGATAGTGCGGAAGACATCCCCTTAATTTTCTATGAAGTTATCATCATAAAGGTAGAATAAGAAATAAATACCATGTAGATATGGTGGCACATGCCTATAATCCTAGCACTATGAGATTGAGGCAGGATTGCAGATTTGAGCACTCTTTGGGCAATTTACAGAGTTAAAACCAATGTCAACAAATAAAAAGGACTGGGGAATGTAATGCAGTGCAAAGTCCCTGTGGCCAACCCCGTGTCACCAAAATAAATACATGAAAATATTTTATAAGAAAAATTATTTTAAACCTAGCAGAAGATATTTTTTCTTGGGATTGTTATCAGTAGGAAGTTAAGTTGTTAAGGGTTAAACGAAGAAAGTAAACACGACTTTGCTAGTCCTTGATTTTGTTTGTTAACTAAATGCAACAGCAGATAATGCTGCCATGCTTGGGAACCTCTCCTTGTCTGACTTCTACTATATCAAAGCATTTTTGGGGAATAACTTCTTTGTCTGTATCAATGCTCAGGGTAATGGAGCATGTCTAACATCAAACACAAGTTTTCCAGTTACTAACTTTTAGGTGATACTTCCTCTTAAACATGGTCTAGCTACTATTTGAGCTGTGTTAATTGTTTGAGACATGAAAGAAGCAAATTGAGGAAATCGTTAATAAACATTTAACCCATAATGATATTTTATAGTGGAAAAAAATTCGGAAAATCCATTCCTCAGAATCATTGTTCACATTTCAATATTTAGCACATAAGTTTACAGCTGACTTGCAAAATATGAAATATTTTGAGTTACTTCCACTGCTTTTAAAGCTTGGAGAGTTTTTTTTTTTTTTCTTTCTGTGTCAGAAGGTCAATATTATTATGTATTTATGCAGACATAAGAGCTTTAAGAAATTTAAAAATGATTCAAAATTCAGCAACCTATTACTCCTATTAATTCTGTATGGCATCTTCAAATCAGAAACATTTTAACAGGAGGCAACAATTACGATTTCTTTGCACATTCAAACCAAGAACATCAACTTCAATGAGGCCTGTTTGACTTTGTGCTGTTTGAACAGAAAACACATTCTGTTTTCATAAAGTTGGCCTGGTTTTAATGCATAAGTATAAATATAAAAATTCCAGATCCCTATATACTTAGAATGGTTTCTATAGTATCACTTTTGGAACTGGAACTTTTTTAGAACTGTGGACAATTTATAGAATAACAAAGTTGAAATCAGAGTAACGATTGAGAAAAAATTACTTAGAGAAAAGGAAATATGATAGTTGGCTAGTCCAAATTTTGCCATCAAGTTATACTTGCATGTTTTAAGAATGAACAGATATGAAAGAATATAGCAGCCTTATTGGTTGATGTAACTGATTGGTTTTGGAATTTACATCCTACCTATAGTGATTTCTCTGAGAAAAGCAAAGGACTTGGCAGGCAGCCATATTAATATCATATGACCCAGCACCCGTGGTCAGAGATTACTAGAGCAGAGATGATTTTTGCCTTAAACTAGCCTCATCTATTTGTTTTGCTCGTTAATCTGTAATTGGTCTCTGCGTGGAGCTAATAATAAAATGTGTAAACTATGAAGTTTTGGGGTATATGTAGAGATGCAAGGAAAAAAGATTAAAATAAAGGAATAAAGTAGATACATGGAGAGTAGTCAAGAGGAAGATGTAGGATCCATTGAGAAATAGACAGTAATCTCAGTTTCTGGTGAGGTTAGCCTGCTTTGTATTCCACAAAATACTCTTATGTCTTTTTAAAAAGTAATTTCTTGTTTTGATTAAGCCGTTTTAGTTGGCAACAGGAGAACCTTGACAAAGATGCTTTGACAGTGTTCAAGTTGTGCTAGTTTTTGAAAATGAGAATTAGGAAGTATGTGAAAGTCCCTTGACTAACTTCACACTCCATTTCAGGGTACCCAGCATGATCCAATCACCCACCAAAAATTGCTCCCTGTTGTCTCACGTTAAAATATAACCAAGTGAAAAATTTTTAAAGTTGACTTTTCCTGTAAGTGTAAATTTTCCACGGGATCAAAGTCATGTGCTGATGGAGGAAGATCAGTAATTATCAGATGGCATGAAGGATGTCCTAATTATCAGATGGTGTAAAGGGTGTCATGGAATTTCTGAAATCACTTGTGATAGGTTTTCTGCAGTTTACCTCTGGTGTACATTGGCATTCAGCTTTAGTTCCTAAGATAGCAACATTCTCATGGGTTCTAGAAGAATGCTAATTGTGCTGGCCTTCTTTGTTTCTTTTTACTCATGGTAACGAAAGAGATGTCCTTTCTGGCAGGGATAATGTATCATACCAATGTATAGAAGCCCCACATACTGAAAACACAAGACTGGGTCTGACAAATGGTATTACTGCAAGAAATGTTCCATAAGCCTTAATTGCTAGAAGATTTCAGTGATATCGTGAATAACTTCCAAACCATTTTAGCTCGTTTAGTACTTGATATTATCATATAGACTACATTATGGTTTTCTCATTTATTTAGATTTCTCAGGCCTTCAAACGACCCTTGGACATATATTGTGAAAAGTCAAATCTTTTATCAGATTCTCTGCCTGTGACTGAGCTTCAAAACCCCTTTTAAAAAATATCAAGCAATTGTCAAATTTCCAGGGTCAAGGAAAAATACATGGCTTATTATTCTCCATTCTTATTTTACCTAACAATGCAAGGTAAAAGTAATTTTGTAATCCTGACTTCTTCATAAGAAAAATGAAAATCCAAAAAGCAAACATAGCACCAGACATTTAGGAGTGCTGTACTTTGAACACTATATTTAAATGTTGTAGGCTTAAAATTAGAATCTTAAAAATATATCCGGTCAAGTGTTACCTCCTCCTTTCTCCACATTCTTTAAATTCAAAAACATGCATACTGACAGGGCTCAGAAAAATAGC